TGCCGAGCTCTGCTTGGTTGTGAATAAAGAATAGTGGGTAGACCTCAAGGCAGCTTGCTTTTAGGTCTACACATTCTCCTTCAATCGGAGCCACTCAGATCTCGGCGTTCTGACGTCACCACAACCCCTGCAAAAAGAAGCAGACGAACTTGCGCTCCACATAGCTTTTAGGATAAAATTTTCGCATTTTTCTAGCTTCCTTTAAAAATCTGAATTTCTGAGAATCATAAGGAAAGGTATACGGCGCGTGTAGGGCCTAGGGTAAATTGTTTCAGCCCTGGGTCACCGAATAATCACAGCAATTTTTAGCGAGGAAGCTCCTGCGATCTTTAACCTTTTTTACTAATCGCCGATTCTACGAGTTGGCAGTTCTGAAGATTTCGATATAACTCGCTTTCGTTGCCATATCTTGCATTTGATCGCAGTGTTTTTTGGTTTGTTTTTCAAGTGAAAACCTGGCGTTTGCTCAAGTGACGTATATGAAATGTCTTGCTATATGACAATGCATCAACACATACTATTAAACTTAGATGCTCAGAGGTGTCTTCGTCTTTGTAATTAACAAGTTACAGACGTATTTATTTCTTACGAGTGTAATATTTATTTTCTGTAGCTGGGCCCGTTTTGGGCTCCTTAATGTCAGTATGCTATGACGTTATCATCATCTGTGTATGGTTCTAAATATCCTCTTTACAAAGCCTACAAAGGCCAAAATGACGTCAGCCGACCCCAACTCGCGCATTTGACACAAAAACTGTGTCGAACGGATGTAGGCGCTCGTCAGCAATCAATTCGTCCATGAATATTTGAATTCGCGTGTCTGGCGAATGAGTGCCCTGACGGAACTTATCATTACTTGCGAATGCCAAGTTCTAGGGTGTGGTTAAAGCACGGTGAAAGCTTGGGGTCATCGCACCGGTGTCCTAGCATGTCACGACTGCGTGATTTCACAGTCTTAAGCTGAGGATTACAGGTAAGGAAGAAGAAGTTTAAAAAATTAAATCCGTTTACAACTCCCTGTATTACAACCGAATTAGAGCGCAGCTCTTGGGGAGGAGGAGGAAAGGGTACTGAGGGTCACGTGTTCTCGGGGGGGGGCGAGGTCACGTGACACACACGTGACCTCCGGAATGGGGTCACATGACCTGGGGGTGTCACGTGACCTCGGTGGCGGTCACGTGACCCCCAGAGAAATTTTCCCGCTAGATTTAGCGGGGAAAATTTTCCAACTAGATTTAGTTGGGAAATTTTTCCGCTAGATTTAGGGGGGAAATTTTTTCGCTAGCTTTAGGGGGGAATTTTTTCCGCTAGATTTAGCGGGGAAAGTTTTCCGCTAGATTTAGCAGGGAAGCTTTTCAGCTAGAATTTTCTGCTAGATTTAGGGGGGAAAATTTTCCGCCAGATTTAGCGGGGAAATTATTCCGCTAGACTTAGCGGGAAAATTTTTCCCGCTAGAATTAGCGGGGAAATTGTTCCGCTAGATTTAGCTGGAAAATTTACCAATAATGCAACGCGCGGTTACGCCGACGGCGACGCCAACGGCGACGGCGACGCCGACGGCGACGCCGCTCAAGCTGGAAATGGGCGCCTAAGAGCTGCGCTCTAAAATAATTTCGTGGCCCCTTTAACAGTGATATGTGTGGTACACCAGATGAAAATTCTCACTTTTTGAATGCCGGTAAACTTCCGAACGACCATTTGGCCTGTCGGCAAGAACACCTCATATCCGGCGTCCGATTCTTTTGATGGCATCAACAATTCCCTGGAGACCAGCATGCCGTCCTTCTTGGTTGAACGGTTGAACCCCGTCGACGTCGCTCCTCACGAGTCGGTGAGATAATCTCATCTTGAAAGGATGATCGGGTCTTGAAGAAGTATGATGCTAAACATATATACTCGCTCACTATAGGGCAGTCGAGCAGCAGTCATGTTCCGAGCCAATCGTCCCGTCGCGGCCGGCGTAATCAGATTTTGTTCCATCGGAGCGAAGTCCGAAAGTACTAGGACGGTACGTTCGTCCCACGAAGCGGCCGCCATCCCGGCGGCGCAGAAAACCACTCGCCTTGTCCGTGAACGCACGATACCATAGCAGCTCTCGTCGCCCGACAGTTCCTGGGTGCAAATCGTCTCACTTTCAGAAAAAGCAGGCACCGTTCCTCCAGAGGTTCTTGCCGTGCCGCGATGCCAAGCGTATTATACCACTTTTCAATGAACGAATGGAGATATCAACTAGACTACAAAGGTTGCCACCCGACGTCGCTAGAAGCACGGTTACCATGGCAACCTCCCAGGCCCAAAATGTAGATCACTATCAGCGCTTCTGACGTCGTGCATCTAGATAAGTTTGCGTCGTGTCGCTACTCTGGCAGCTACGCTGCCATATAGAGTGTCTCTAAGTTTCCTTGGTTGCTGACGTCGCGACATCCGTCCGCGGAGTTCTCTTTCATGTGGATACCCCTTAATGTGGATGCTTTGTCCCCACCAGCATTGTAGAAAGATAGCATACCCACGTGCCTCATAGAGAAGCATGGATAAATAAAAGCACGCTTCCACACAATTCAATCTGGGTCTCGAGGCCAATAATTCCTTGCAGTTTAGCGGGATACTGAACCAAACAATTTAGTGTCCATAATAAATGGCGCACGTTGTTTCCACAAGCCAGCAGCCGCCGGTGTGCGCGGAGCACACGGCAACGAAATTGACATCATAGTCCCCCACTCGCGCTTAAGGTGACCATGAAATGTGTAAGCTATAGGGGAAAAGGAGAGTAATGACCAACTTTTCAGCCCCACAGTGGGGTCTGTAAAATAATTAAAAAATAATCGCTTACTTTTTACACCAGACCCCACTGTGGGGCTGAAAAGTTGGTCATTACTCTCCTTTTCCCTATAGCTTACACATTTCATGGTCACCTTAAGCGCGAGTGGGGGACTATGACGTCCATTTCGTTGCGTGTGCTCGCGCACACCGGCGGCTGCTGGCTCGTGGAAAGATCGTGCGCACTTATTATAGACACTGAAGAGTTTGTTTGAGTACACCGTTAAGTCTACACCCAGCCGATGCTACAAGCGCGACCACGTGTCCCGGAAACAAGCTTGCACTGCACGATCGCGCGTGCTTCACAGAAACGTTGAAAGCCCTGAGCTCGCACTTCTTGCATCGACTGCCTCTGCACTTGAGCTGAGATTAGGTATACCGTTCTATTCTCAAGAATATAACGCACCAATGTACAAGGAAAAAGTTTCCTGCATAGCCAGTGCAGGGGAAACTCCTCCCACCTGTGTCCAATATACACCTTTCCAAATAAACACTCGACCCCAGGGGCAACAAACCGTTTTCGAGCCCAGCCACTGAGTTTGAGGCTAGACTCTCAACGGCGTCCCTCCTAACCCTAACCGAGTGGACTGTGATTTCAATAGGCGAAGCCTGCGTAGGCGCAGTTTCAAACGCTGCTGGCGGCTAAATTCTCGTTTTTTACCGCTATATTTTGTGTTTAATGGTACATGTATTTTCCCGAGGACATTAAGAAAGCATTGTGCCTCATTTGAAAAAAAAAAAAAAAAAAAACTGTAAATTATTTTTGTTGGGTACGCGCGCGACAGAACGAATGCGACTGGAATGTATAGTTCTAGTTATTTTTTTTCCTTATGATAAGCTTTGACGGCACCGCGGGATTCGCCGCATGTGAAACGACAATGCGCTTTGCTGTCAAAAATAAATTGCAACAGAAGAGGGCCGAAAGGCATGCATTTTTCACGCTCACAAATAACGTGTTTACCGATGTACAGGAAACGGACATTCAATTGAGGAAGTGGTAACATTCGAACAATATATCGTACGTACCACATGATGCAGCGTTATCTGAAAAGAATTTATTTGAGAAAGATCTCAAATAACACAGTCACAGTCGACGACAGTCACATCTTGACGATCGGGCGGAATCCGAGGTGACTTCGTTTTGGACACGTTTTGGGGAAAGTTTCCTTTTTTCACAACCGCACCAAGGCAAAGAAACAAACGCGACTGACCCATTTCTCACCCCAACCCGGACAACTATTTTTGAAGATGACTGAGGATTCTACGCGGATTATCCCGGGGGGGGGGGGGGGGGGGAGAGGAAAATGTTCGCAAAATCGCGTCGAGGGTCGTTCGACGCCTTTCACCTCCTTCGTTTCCCTTGAATGTCGAGCAGAAAAGCTTGAATGGCGGGCACTTACCAGCCTTATTTCTCACAATGGAAGATAACACAAAAAGGGTAGGCAGTACGCATAAAAAAAAAAATTAAGTGGAAACTTTGAAGAGGGGCGAGAAAACGTCGAATGCAAAACCGCAAAAACGTTGGTAGAGAACCGCGCTGAGCGAGTCTTCACAGTCCCAGAGTGTGGCAGAAAATTTCTAGCTGATAGAGGGCGCGAGAGTCGCACCAGCCGCATCAGCATCAGCAACATGGCGGCGGCCTAGGAGCGTTTTTTGGAAAGGTGTATAGTAGAGCAGCACTGGAGAGGAGGTCGCCCTCTCTCCGGTGTTTTCTCTCCTAAAGTAGAAAGTAATGGGAGGAGCTTACCCTGGAACTCTTAACGCGTTACCGATTATAGTTTTCAGTGGAGTTAGACTGAGTTTCCCCTTTAAAGAATTATGTTTTGTGCAATCTTTCATGTGTAAAGTAATGCAGGAAAGAGGATTTTAATTAATATCAACACCAAATAAAACCATGGTTTCAAATGGGACTTTGTTGGGTACCATGGTGGTGTTCAATGAATTTTGTGTAGGTATCCTTTCAGTTGACAAAAAGAAATGTTTATCAATACGTTTCATATCTGGGTTTAACCCCATTCTAAGCATGAGCGTCTCAAACTGACCCCGATAACTTTGCACCGTGATAGCCGTGTACGTGTTCTACGCTCAGACGTGTTTGATGGAATGCTAACCCTTTCTGTTTCATTCATCTGACCGTCCACAGAACTGAACCTGGAACGGCGTGTTCCGGAAAACGCGGCTAGATGTTCCTCGCCGGCGCCCCGATGGAGCCCACGGAGACGGCGATGCCGAAGGAGCTTGGTTGGGTCATGGTGCCCAACCTCGGAGGCCTCGCCGGCTACTACATCGTGTGGAGGAAGCACGACAACTTGCCGGCCGTGAGAGCAGCGCTCTGACCCCTCCCCCAATCAGCAGCGCGAGTTATAAGAACCATTGTCTTTTTAAATGGGTCATCAAACGTCATCGAGTTGGAATTTTAATGACTTTACTGAGGCGTACTGGTCCTAGCCTGGCCCAAGTATACTCGCGCAGAGCGCCACTGACTGGGAAGCTTCTTTGTCGCGGTAAAATTGCGAGGATGAAAGCGCTTTATTCACTTCAGTGTCTCCTTCGTAAAGGTTGATGACGCAATTGTGGGATCGAAGCCACCTGCCTGACGACAGTCGAGTGCGGCTCATGGATTCGACACGAGAACTGCGGGAGGACTGGATTTCGGCTTGCAACAACCCATACCTCAACGGGCATTCGGATAGTTGCTCGTGTCCAACCAGTGCGGTTATCAAACTAGCCTAACTCTAACAATGCCTGAGGCTCAGCATTCTTTTTCTACTTTGCCAAACCCAGCGCGTGGCTATAATTAACGCTGACGGCATAGGACGTGCACCAGGCCGCGTGACCGCTTATTCCGGCTCCAAGTTGAGGGGATGAAGGATGCTCATATTTCTCGAATTTATTTGCCGAGTGCCATTGATTAGAAAGGAAAACTAATCAAGTTCATTCAGTCATGAACGTTAAAGAGGGATTGTAAGGAGTATGCGTGAAGCATTAGATGAGAAAAGCATTAGATGCGTTTAAATGCGAGAAGCATTAGAAATAAAAGTGATGAGATTGAAATATTTTTAAGTTCACTAACTCATAGCTTTCATATTTTGGCATTCACGGAGCCGTGGTTTACCGGAGACTGTGATGTGATTAACTTCAAAAATTTCAAGAGCGAACAAATCTATCGTACAAACCGGAAAGGAGGTGGAGTGTAACTTTATTTGCGCGAAGGTCTGAAATATAAAATTATTCCAGACTTCACGGGTGTTGATTATAATCATGAATCATTAGTCGTTCAAAGTTCTAGAACGGTTATTGCTGCAATATACAAGCCACCGAACGGATCCTTTAGTATATTTTTTAGTTTCATTACAGGCTTACTGGAGTATGTTAATTCCATGAATTTTCAGATTATCCTAGTAGGCGATTTTAATATAGACTTACGGTCTCATGAACCGCCGAAAGTTGAATTTCTTGAAATAATACAGTATTTTGGTTGTACAAACTTAGTGAACATGCCTACGAGAATAACGGAACACACTGAAACTTTGATCGATCTTTGTATAACAAATTATGAGACTCATGGCACAAGAGCAGGCGTAGTTTCGGTGGATCTAAGCGATCATTTTCCTATATTTTGTTTTATCTGCTGGAAGACTCGGGCAGTAAGCAATCTAGCGCACATGAAAAGCTGACTTATCGCCATACTAGTAACCAAAAATATATTGAAAAATTTACCATACTCATTTCGAACGATAACTGGAACGATGTTCTAACCGAACTAGACCCTGATAAAGCGTACGATATGTTCGTGGAAAGAATAAGAGAATATTATGACTCAGCTTTTCCACGGGTTCAATGTAAAAAGCACAACAAAACAAAGAAACCATGGGTTACTGCAGAGTTATACAAAAGAATCAAAGCAGGAAATAAGCTGTTCGATAAATTTATCAAAACTAGAGACCATAATATTTTAACTGAATACAAAAAGCAACGTAATAAACTGACTGTAGAATTGAAAAAAGCGAAAGTTAGATATTATACAAATAAACTTGTATCTATAAAAAACAGCCCAGAAAAAGTATGAATGACTGTTAAAGACGTACTATCCCCTGTCCCTAATGTCATACCAAATGAACTCACAATGGATGATCAGATATATTCTCACGCGTCACTGGCCGAGAGGTTCAACTTGCATTTTTTGACTGCAGATGGCAGTGTTCCCACATTAATGGACTACAGCAACTATGAAACGTACATAACCATGAACTTAGCTAACTCTATATTTTTAACTCCCACCAATGAAACAGAAATTAAGGCCACGGTCCCACTGATTGTGGCAGTTTAGGCACTTTTTGGCAGGTCATTACTCATCTCATTTTAAATGCTGTTTTGTGGGATTGATGTCATTCGAAAGGCAATGCAATCCTCTTTCATTTGATATTATGTATGTGTTGGTCTTTACTGTTCATGCGCGTTTGTAGCGTTGCGAATATGATGGCGCGGACCCTCACTTGCTCCGCTAGTTCATGTTTTATGAACGATCCATTAAAGATAGCACGGTTCCAATATGTCAGTTTTGTTAAGATGATGTCGGAGCAGAATGTAACGATACACTTTTTTGGTATTTGCACTACTTTGTTTTTTTCATCCCTCCAAATATTGCCCTAAAATGGACATATTTCAGCACAAACATGTTTTTAACGACAAGCGCTAGGGCAATGAAATTAGCTACAGATGTAGTGCTTATAATAGGTAATATGCAAAAAAAATTTAATGTTGTGTAAAATTTTCTTGTTTAGATATTTTATATCAAACGTAGCACTTTTTTGTGCTTCGAGTCATGGTACTTCAAATGCCGCTGAGGAAATAATTAAACTATCATAAAATCTTTTATAACATGTAGAGCTACAATGGTTGCCCAAGAGGTGGACGATGGCTTTTTTTCATTTTCAAAGTCATAACGCTCCAGGAGCCCTTCAAACTTACCTGTTTTTGGGGCGTAGGTTTTTTGGACATCAAACAGATTTATTGGCATCTAATAACATTTATTGTTTGGAATAGATATACATTGCGATGTATTAAATTTCCACAATGATCTTGCTTTGGCTTTTTAATAGGTGTAGAGCTCAGCTAATTTTAAAAACAATTAAAAACTGTTTGGGTGTTTTGTTGCGCTACCTGGCGGATGGCAGACAAACTGTTGATTTCTAGTGTTCAAAAAAATTCCGAAGGCGGCGTTGGCATCTGTATCATCATCAATCTCCGTGTCTTTTTACCTTCACAGTTAAAAAATATATTGGAAGATATACTATCGATAAATGAATGGTTTAGGTACTGGGTCAGGTTAATAAATCTAAGACAAATAAGTACACACGCGTAGCGTGATATAATGTGTTCATTATTCGATATGATTGAAATCAATAAGCAATAAAGACGAAGAGAAAAATAATACACCCGAGTTCACTTCATGCCTAGAGTCACTAAATGAGCTTTAAAGTATCGGCACTCCGTTCCCCAAAATTGTTTTGGGCTTTGCCATTTTGGGTCTTTTTCAGAGCAAACGCAACTGCCGATCGTCATGATCCAAAAGTACGACCTCCTCAGCATTAGATGCGGTGCTAGGAAGCTGATGCAATATTGCAATGCTCTGTCGCGGGTTGTTTAAACATTTGTGGAGGACGGAAAGGCGTTTCCTGTGATTTTAGATAAAGCTTCAGGTAACTATCAACCATGATTTTAAGCCACAATATGGCCAAGTGTCGCTCTTCTGAACCGTAGCTAATTTACTGGTACAAGCGGGAACAACGAGGAAGAAGCAGGTGTCAAAAGGTAGTGGCCTGTGGAATCCACGGGGCTTACGTCATGGCCCCTCCAGGTATTACAAGCCTCTTGAACAAGAGCATGAATAGTGCCATTAAATAAGCTACGCGTCAGAGTAGCGACACTTGGCCATATTGTGGCTTAAAATCATGTTTGCCAGTTATTTGAAGCTTTGTCTGAAATCACAAGAAACGCTTTTCCGTCCTCCACTTTAAGCAGTGTGTGACTAAGCAAAGCACCATTACATGAGCTTCCTAACACCGAATCTAATGCTGAGGATGTCGCACTTTTGAATCACGACGATTAGCAGTTGCGCCTGCTCTGCACAAGCACCAGAATGGCGGCGTTCACAACACTGTCGGGGAAGAGAGTGCCGAGACTCTAAGCGCAGCTAATTTATTTGCTCTAGTTCCCGCGAAACTCCTTTTCCATGACTGAAACTGAATGTAAATATGAATAATACACCATTATTATAGCTTATTTAGTTATAACCAACTACACATAATGAGAGGAGGAAGTGGCCGGGTAGGAGAAACGCGGGTTTTATGTGCGACCGTTCTAGCCGTCTGAAAAGAGAGAACGCGCGAGCTTGCGCTGGTTTAAAAAAAAGCATCCAAAGAAAAGTGGCGGCACGTTGTGCTCTTTGTTATTATGCGTCTAATTGCAAATTGTTGTGTGTATGTTTATACAGCCGAAAGTTAGTCCGCCTTAGTGGGCGTCTGACTCTCAGCTGTAGATGAGTAATTTAGCCAGTGCGGTACAACCGCAAACCTGGGGTCTTTAACGTGCACCACGCAGTAGTGATACACGACCGCACGCCGGTACGATGCTCTTCCAGATCGAAACGGGCAGGGGCGAGGTGGCTTCTGCAGTGCGAGCTTTCGCTCCAAGTGCTCCGAGTTGGTGTGCGCTAGACCATGCACTCGGCCACCGACCCCCCCCCGCCCCCCCCCCCCCCCCCCTTGTGCGTCTCATTTATATACAGGTATCACTATTTGAAGATCGACGATGGACGTCGATCGTCTCGAGGTAATGTAAAGTAATAACATCATATAAATAATAAACTTGTTGAAGGACTGAACGACTCAATTTTTCAATTCTTGGATTGTAATATGGCGGTAGCCTATTGTGCTTAATTTTGATGAAGATCAATATGAGGTGATGAGGTAATGATTAAATGATGAGCCTCTATAAGGACGACGACATTAGTGGGTGTCGAACCACAAAGTACAGTGCCAGACTTGTTTCAAGTATCGTGTACCCAAAGACTTTCTTCACCCGTAAAATCAATGAGGATGCTGCTTTACAACTGTACGTGGAACAGAAAAACTGCACTGTGCAGAAGTGCGGCTTATTCGTTAATAGGAGGGACGGATTTCTAGCAGGATTCCCTGATTGACTACTTGGAACAAAATGCCTCGTTGACGTAAAGTTTCCCCGTTCCAAAAGATTCTTAAACCGCAAAGGAGTATGAGGCGAAAAATAAGAAAAAGGAGCCTGGTGTGAAAGGTCC